TAGGGAAACTTTTGGCATATTTGTTAGCCAGTGTAGCACCACACTGACACTTCGAGCTTGGGAATACTTATACAACTATTTCCATATAACAAAACATTTGTGCTTAAACTGAAGTTATGAATATTTATAAGGAAACATAAAACAGTTCAATAAGGGGTATAGATCCTACTGAGATGTCTTAGGAAATTAAGAATGTATCTCTGTAGAACACTTAAAAGTTTTTAAGGCCAAATATTATACTTAAGAACAAACATATATTGTCAAGGAAAAACATTTTATCACTAATCCTAATCCAGGTAAATTGCCCTCCTTTTTAAAGTAACTTCTCCAACATTCTCTTTTCTAATTGAAATGAGGTTGACCTTCAAAATACAAGAAGGACATATATTTCTGTCCACCTTTACTCTTCCTGAAGATCTGAGTTGGTTCATACTGGGCCCATACTGGAAAACCTAGAGGAGAATATGAATCCACGGACCTTTTTAGGGAAGCACTGCAGATGGATGGCAGAAGGAAGGTGAAGAGCAGTAGCTCATGCTTTGCTGGTAATGCATACTATTCCCGGCCAGTCATGAGAGGCCTTCCCATGGCTGTTTACCTTGAGATGGCCAATGTTTTCTAGTGGAGGTTTTGGGAGGAAGAGAACTATCACTGCATTTCTTTCTTTGTTGTGAATGAAGAAATGGAGTAGCGAGCAGAAGTGAGAAAACAAAAGAGAAGATAGATAACAGATATGAGCGACAAAGTGCAGAATTTTACAGGTGTTAACAGAGGAGTAGAGAAGACAGTAATCAGGTTTTTATTATGAAATACAATTGGGCATGCAATGCATTAGGGTGATGAGGTTTCACAATGGACAAATGCTTTGTAAATTCAAATGTTATACTTACCCACTAACAAAACAAGTTCAAACAGGAAAAAAAGAAAAGAAAAAAAAGTCTATGAGAGATTCTTTAAACATCTACCTTTTAAAGTGTTCACTGTACTGGTGGCATGTTATGCTAACCACTCAGTCATAAAATCTCTAGGGCAGTACTGTCCAACATGGTAGCCACAGCCACATCACAGTTAATTAAATTAAAATTATAAATAAATGCAAAAATTTTATAAATAAATACAAAAAATAAAATTAAATAAAAATTAAAAATTTGACTCCTTGGTGCACTAGCCACATTTAAATTGTTTAGCAGTCACATGTGGTTAGTGGCAACCATACTCGACAGTGCAGATACAGAACATTTCCATCATCATAGAAAGTTTTATTACAGAACACTGCTTTAGAGTACGCCAAATTCAAAGGATAGTTTCCTCAAAAACAGCAATTTCTCTATGTCTCCCTTACTGCCTTCAAGGTGAAACCCCCTTTCAGTCAACTGAGTCAAATCAAGCTTTTTAGTGTGTGTGGTATACAGTACCGCCTCATGTTTTAGCAAATGATGTTTGTGATAAATACTCAGCATACCCAAACTCTGTAAATAATTTATGGTGGATAAGTCTCAACTTTAGATTTAAAGAATAATGTGATACTTACACTTCATTTCACATCCTATTCTGCCTAAGTATTGATTTATATCACCTGAGTCATAAACAATATTGATTTATTTATTTCTATTGACAATATATCCTCTCAAGTATAAAGTTTAAAAAGTATGGGCTCCTACGTTTTACATATAGTATCTATTAATAACATTTTTACAGTACTCACACAGACTGTTGTCTGTATCTTGATGGAATAATAAACTGATTCATATGTTGTACATTGATTACAATGAGCTATTATTACAAATAACATGATGAATATGACTTTGAGGATCTATAAAGATTGTAGAAGGGAACTCAATGCATTGTTATTTATTGTGGCTTTGATTATACTGCTTGCTGACAGGTATGACCACTTTAAAACTGCTAAAGTTACTGGACCTACTAAATATAGCCTTTAAAAATATTGTGACTTTGAAAGCAATTCTAATTAACATTGAACTAAGAGGCAGTGTCATCTTAGAAAGAGCATGGGTTAGACAGACCCATGACAAGTTTGTCATGTTACTAGATGCTGGATATTGGGCAAACTAACCTGAGACAGTTTTCTTATCTGTAAAACAGAGACAATACTAGTTATTTTGCAAAGTTGTGGGGAATGAATGCCTACATATGCAAAGATCCTGGCACACAGCAGGTATACAATAAGTGTAGCTATATAATAAAACTACGATAAGAGCAAACATTAATAGACTTTAGATCAAAAAGGATGAGGATTAGAAAAGAAGGGATAGAAACTAGAAATATTTTTGAAGAAAATGACCACTTAGAAAACATCAATTGTTAAAATGTGGAGAACACAACGTAACTGTTTACTTTGGGGGAAAATAAAGAATATCCACTTTTATGTTAATATTCCTATAAAACATAACCTTACATTAAAGGACAGATTACCCAAATAATCTTACTGCTTTAATATTGTTAAAGGAGTTGATAAGTGATTAAGATTAGTGTGGATGCACCACTGAATGTCATAAAGTAACACATAATTTAAAATAGTACAGAAACACAGGCAAACATGAGGTTTCAAGATATTCAAGAACTACCATTATTGTAGACTTAGAACATATCAGTCTAAGCTTGTCATATTTTATCTCCTTACAAATGGGAAAACTGGGTTTGGGATAGATTAATTCATTCGAGTTCATGCAGATAAGAAATAGCAGAGCTAGGATTTAAATCCAGATCAGTCTGATTCCAAAGCCCATAGCTCTCCCATGGCAACCTTAAAACTATACTAAAAATAAATAAATAATAAAAAATGATTTTTCAATGGGTGGAAAAGTAGAGCCTTCAAAATAAAAATTTTTAACAATTTCTAATTTGCAAATATGACAGGTTACTGGGCAATTTCTCTCCTCTCTCAGTATCAAGAAGGGACTGAAAATATTTAGACTAAATGAGTAATTACAATACTTCAAGTATTCTGAAGTCAGACTCTGACTTTACCAGGTGACTGTTGGTAAGGTTTTTTGTTTTTGTCTCATAGAATTGCCATGAAGATTCAGTGAGGGGATGCATGTATAGTACTTAGCACACTGCCTGGCACTCAGTAATCGCTCAATTATTATTTTCATTACACAAATTTTACATCTGGATGAATGCTCTATATGAAAACTGAACCTAGTAATTATTGTTATAAAAGGTTAATGGACTTTATTTAAGATTAATATTATTTGCTTCTTGGTCAAGAACATACAAGCCAAATTTCTAAGTTTACTGAAAAGAGAACACATTTGGCTGCTTATAATTTCAGGCTAACCTAGTGATAAATAAATATGATCATTTTTAAAACATTTGCTTTTAAAAACACAGTAAACAAACTTATAGCTTATGTTATATGTTGAAGGAAACGTTTTCTACTGGCACTTACAAATAATATTTAGGATATACATAAAATAACTATCTTCTGAAGAGCTACAATCTTTTCTTCCAGATCATTTCAAAGCCTGGGAAAAGGAGAAGAGTTAAATGGCTAAGTTTTGATGACTCATTCCATTCGAAGATTCAAAGAGATGGGCCTTAGAATCATAATACTATCTCATCTACATGTGGCAATACAGATGTTGTGAATTAACAGCAAAACTGAGGTTAGAATTAAGGAAGATCAGACACTACTCTAGGTCTTCAAAATCACTCTGTTAGATTATCTCTTATTTTGATGGCATAGAAATATTTGAATCTTATTACTAATCTTTAGAAGATTTACTTAGATAGGAACCTATACGTTTTCTAAAGGTAATTATACAAAGTGGTATGTATGTATACGTATATTTATGTATGTATACAGTGGACCCTTGAATGTAGGGGCTAGGGCGCCAACCCTCTATATAATGTGCCTAGAACTTATAGTCAGTCCTCCATACATGCAGTTCCTCCCTATAGGTGGTTCTGGTTCCTCTGTATCTATGGATCCGCATCCACGGATTCAACCAATCTCAAATTGTGTAGTACTGTAATATATACTGTTGAAAAAAAAATGCATGTTTAAGTAGACCTGCGCAGTTCAAACCCATGTTGTTCAAGGGTCAACTGTACACGTATATGCATATGTGTGTATATATATGTATATACATGTGCATATATAGAGGGAGTCAAATACCAATCACCCCTTTAATTTTTAAAGTATTGATACTAAGATCTCTATCTTAATTTGTAGAGAAACAAATCCAAAGAGAGGTACGTACTAGTTCAACTAATAGAGTATTAGTGGTAATTCTAGATATGCTACATAATAGGCACTGAAAAATACTTATGGCTGATGATAGTAAAAAGACATAATACTAGGAAAAAACTGGGTGTATTTTATATTTATATATATATATATTTACTTTTTAAATGTTTTTATTTTTTATTTTTTTTCCATACATACATTTTCTCTGTTGTGGGCAGCACACACATTTGTGCTGGACCCGAAGGCTCACTGCGCTGTTCAGGGTGTCCCCACCCCTTACTGTTGGCCGCTCTTAAGTGTGGTGTGGATAGACCAGGCTTCCTCCTCAACAGCTGTCTTTTCCCTTTTTCCAAAATTGCTGTGTCTGGCTCTGCACATTCCCTTTCCTCCTCTTCCCTTTTTTTTTTTTTTAAATTAATTTTTATTGGAGTATAGTTGCTTTACAATGTTGTGTGCGTTTCTACTGTACAGCAAAATGCATCAGCTATGCATGTGCATATATCCCCGCTCTTTTTTGGATTTCCTTCCCATTTAGGCCACCATAGTGCATTAAGTAGAGTTCCCTGTGCCGTACAGTATGCTCTCATTAGTTATCTATTTTATACATAGCATCAATAGTGTATATATGTCAATCCCAATCTCCCAATTCCTCCCACCCCACCCCTTCCCCCCTTGCTATCCACACATTTGTTCTATGTGTGTATTTTTAATAAGAAAGATAACTTAATATTTACTGTGCACTTGCAGTAAAACAGGATCCTGTTTCTTCTTGTTGGCATTCTAGATTTTTCTTTTATTTAAAAAAAAAGAATTGGAGGGGGAGGAAAAAAAACAACTTGATTTGAAAAGACAAAGTGACATTAGGGAAAAATATCTAGATTCTGAACTGCCAATATAATCTGGTCAAGAAGAGGAGTAATTTCATTTTAAAGTTTAGAGTCGGAGGAGAGGTGTTCATGAATGTTAAAAAAGAAGGTCACAGTAAAACTTTTGATATTTTCCACACACGTGCCTGACAAAGATAAAGGGATTTTTTTTCCTGTATTTTTTTTTTAAATAAAGGACATGAAAAATCTAATAATGTTTTAATGTAGTTATGGAAGATCAACAAAGTGTGACATCACGATATCTCCCTCAGTGACCTTAGGGATAAAAATAATTTCCCTTAAGTATCAGTCTACTGCCACAGACAGTCCATTTTGAGAAAATACAGTTATGAAATTTATGGATCAACTATGATATGCCCCAAATGTTTTTCGTATCTATTTAAATAATACTAAAAATTATCTAGAAGAATCCCCATTAGATTTCAGTGTCAACACAGTTGATACATTACTGTTAACCAGGAAGCAGGTTTTAAATAAGCTTGAGCCAAGTTAAGTTTTAAGCCAAACTTAAAACAGTATTTTTCCACTACTCCACTGAATAGTATTATATTATAGGTTCAGTTGGAAAGAATAGATTATATCCTTTATATGATTATTGTACTGGTATTCCTTTAAAATGTAATTTCAATTTATTGCATTAGTATTATTAGTATTAGTTTATATGGATGGGGTATGCATGGGATATCTAAAGTTGATTCTCAATTGAGGTTGATTCTCGATTACAAGTTAAAAGGAAATGGGGGAAGAACAAAGGGTGTTTTGTTTGACACTTTGTCTTACCTTCAGATAAACAGAACTGATATTTAATGATCTAAATCTCAATGGGGCAAATCAATTTTATCATGTTAAAAAGTAATAATGGGGCTTCCCTGGTGGCGCAGTGGTTGAAAGTCCGCCTGCCGATGCAGGGGACACGGGTTCGTGCCCCGGTCCGGGAAGATCCCACAGGCTGCGGAGCGGCTAGGCCAGTGAGCCATGGCCGCTGAGCCTGCGCGTCCAGAGCCTGTGCTCCGCAACGGGAGAGGCCACAACAGTGAGAGGCCCGCGTACCGCAAAAAAAAAAAAAAAAAGTAATAATGAACCTAAAAATCTTCACACTATTATGTAATTTTTGCAAACCGTAAGTCAGGTCCATATGGCTATTACATGGCTTATTTCATGTCTTCTCTCTCAACTTTGACTTACAACTTTAAAGGGACTTCTACATTTATGGGTTGGTTTGTGACAGGAAAATCAAAATCTGAGATGACTGGGAATAAAAAATCATTCTTCAGGGGCCTCCCTGGTGGCGCAGTGGTTGAGAGTCCGCCTGCCGATGCAGGGGATACGGGTTCGTGCCCCGGTCTGGGAGGATCCCACATGCCGCGTAGCGGCTGGGCCTGTGAGCCGTGGCCGCTGAGCTTGCACGTCCGGCAACGGGAAAGGCCACGACGGTGAGAGGCCCACATATCGCAAAAAAAAAAAAAAATCATTCTTCAGATATCATAATGTTTTTGCTACTGTAAAGGAGTAAATAATTCCTTTTTATATTATTGTGCTGAATTGAAAACCACTGATAAAAATTTTTATCTTTCATAACTATTAAAGTCTGCAAAAAATCCATAAAAATGTATTAAGTAATACTGGAAAAGTTATTTACAGTGTTTAAAAACACCTTTTAAAAAATTCAAGTGCATGTTTCTAACAGCTCCTAAAGGCAAAGACAATTTAAAAAAATTAACCAAAGAGCCTTGACTTGGCTGCTGTATCATTCTTTACCTAATGTCTCTGAAAGTGAGAATACTACTTACTTCCCATGTTATACATCTGGCCAAATGTGCAGGATAATGTGCAAAATATAAGAAGAACATTAAGAAGAGGAATATGAAGGGCTCCAGCTAGTAAACAGCTACAACATGAAAACTGACAGCCTTTATACATTTAAGGGAAAAAGTTAGTCTGAACGTGGCTTTATTATCAATATTTTTCTTTTGTGAAATTTACGGCTCAACTCTATGTATGGTACACAAAAGTGTTATTCATGTCTATTTTAATAATGTCTGATATTTTATCAGATATTCTCTATTATTAAAAATGAAATGTCCAGGTATACTTAACTAGTTTTTATTTTGTTGTTCATTAATTTATTTTTAGTATCTTTCTTTTACCATCTTTCTTATGCCGAGCTGAGTAATTTTAGATAGTGTCAACCCAGTCTAATATAATTTTCTCTTTGCTAGGTCTTTTATATAATTTATTGAAAGGGCTCCAAGTTTTTTTGTAAAATTATTTTTATAATGGCCAATTAATTGGTGACAGGAATGGAAGCTTTAATTTCACCGACTTTAATTGAGAATTACAGTAATTTTTTTTGCAAGCAAATTAGGCCAGTAAAGGAGTACTGTGCCTCTTAGACTACTTAATATAAAGAAAACATATAATATGAAGAGAATCTGAAGGCTTATTAAGATGAACTTCAAGTATATTGTATTCTCTTTTCCTGCTTCCCTTGAACATCATTAAAACAGTCATCTTTGTATTTCAGGTGCCTAGTATGGTGTGAGGCACACAACAGAATAACTATTTGATGAGTTAAGATACCCAATAACAATGCAACACATTACAAAATACAAAGACACATCATTTCAGCTCAGTAGTACTACATTTTCATGCTGAGAAACAAAAAGGTCAATACAACAAGGTGTAACTAACTTCAACCAAGGGTTCTATTATTAGTTATTTTTATCCCAGAACCAGTGTTAGTGTTTCATGCAGACCTAAGTTAGTAAGTATAATTCTGGAAGAAATTTAGTGATAATTTCTGAAATGTTTAGTATGAACCAGGGCAGTGTTAAGTTTGCTTATTAACTGAGTTACAAGCTTAGTGCTTGCTAATTTTTAAAAAAGGAAATGGGGGAAGAACAAAGGGTGTTTTGTTTGACACTTTGTCTTACCTTCAGATAAACAGAACTGATATTTAATGATCTAAAGAGGGAAAATAAAATAAATGAAACAATCATAAGGAGTGCAAAGAATTACAGAATAGGAAGGCCATGAGTCATTTATTTTCTTACTGATTTCTTCAAAATTAGTTAATTGTAAAAATGCAGTACCCTCTTATAATCTTTAAATATTACAAAATAATTTACCCTGCTAAGTACTTCTAAATCTAGACCAATTATGTTAAGTTTATTTGTAAAATTAGAGATGATGAGGTAATATTCTTGGCCATAAAATTTGATCCTCTGAAGTTGAGAGTGCCTGCTCAACTTGTATTTCTTTTGCAGACACTTCAGTAACGATTCCGTGAAACACAATAGTTACTGCCCATTAGCTCAGATAAAACGTAGTGTATGTGCTTTTATGAAGACTGTTGACTTTTAAAGGAACTGTATTTAGGTAAAAGAAAAGTATAAATCAAATTTAAAGGCCAAATATGAAAATAATGATGAATATTTATATTTCAATGACTGGAAGTTTATTCAAGCAAGTTTTCCATTATTTTAAGAGTTTTTTTTAGAACAAAAGGGTATTGCATTTCAAGTTCCAGTAATGAACAGTAACTAATACTTGCTTTTAATCTTACCGGCATCAGATGGTAAATGATGGTAGGGAGCTGGAGAAAAAACCTGTGCTGCAAAATCTTCAAATGTCGTTGGTTCTAAATGGTGCTGGACAATCGTTTGCAGATATCGCGCTCTCTCCTCATAGCTGATTTCCTTCAGTTAAGGATGAACTTAAATGCAGCATACACTGGGAAAGAACAGATCGCATCAAAAAGGACTACTAGCACTGCTAAGCCATTACTTCTTAATAAATGTAATTATTCATTAACTATTCTTGCAGATCATTAAAAGTACGGCTTTTTAAAGAGAAAAAAATGTAGCTTTTAACATAAGTTTACTCTTCAGGATATCACTATCCCTGGCAGCTTAACAGGAAGACATTTATTAGAAAATAGTTAATAGTAAACTGTTGGAAGAAAGAAAGGTAACAGTTTACTTGGGAAAGGATTTAACTGCTATCAGGTCAGCCTAGGGCTCATCTTATCTTGTTAATCAGCTTCGATCTAAAGATGTACTCTGAAAAGCCACGCGATAAATATTATAATGCTTAAAATACTATGTCTGAAATTCTGTTTTTCATTTGTAATAATTTATTGTGAAAAATTCCTGCATATCATCTTTTTCTAAAATCCCTGCATTTTCCCAACAATTGTTCTCATTTTGAATGGAAGACTACTGTTGCTGTAGTCAGCATGTTGCTTATCTCCATGCAGTTAAGATAAATACACAGCTGAATCTGTATGTCAGCTAAAAATACCTAGTCAATTATAACACTGAAACAAGCAGGAATATTTGCAGAGAGTCCACAGGACTCCTACATACTGTCTAACAAAGCATCTACAGGGCACTGACACTGACAGAAAAATACTGTACTTCCCTTTCACCACATTTTCTTCTCTGATATTATTGACAAGCAACCAGTACCTTGAAGTGTTGTTGCTTTTGAACAACCCACTCCAGGCTTCCTGTTTCAGCAGGCCTGATTGTGCTGTTAGCACAGAGAGGGCGAGAAAGAGAGAGAATATTTCTGTTGTTCACGAAAGCAACTATGGAAATGGCTGTCAAAATGTAGAGCAGCAGGCAGCAACATACAATTATCAGGAAAAACTCACATGCTGACTTCATGTCGTATAGTTCCTGAACTGAGAAATCACTTAACCTTTCTTCTACAACTTTTAAAAGTTTTCCAGCTGTAGTCAGTGTGCTATGTTGATAGGCTTTACCTAAGACATTTAACTAGGTGTAAAGGATAATAAAAATTTGCTTATTGGTTCTTCTTTATTCATTGAATTTTCCCCAAAACCCATTTTAATATTTTACCCTCAAAATTCATTATTCTCTCTCTTTTTAAAATTGCAATTCAACTGTTGTAGTCCTTTAGTTCCAGAGATTGTAGACCGAGTCTACAATCAAGACCAAGAAAAAATTTTGAGAGGAAGATAATTTAAATGTTAATTCAGTGGGAGATACCATAGCCAGTTACATTTACAAAAGATTATTGATTGAGAAAAGAAAAAAAAAGAGTTAAAGGTAAGTCTATATTCATTATGCACTTGACTTAGACTGTGATGTCTTTTGCCACCTAAATGACTTGAGTAACCTCTTCTTATACTACAATTTATTTTATGTATCAAATATTGAAATAACCTTAATTCCAATTCCTGGCAATCCATTATTTTCAATTCTGGGGTTGAACTTCAAAAGAATTTTACTCCTGAAATGGGTAGCAACAGGACAAGATGCTATATTGAAAGGATTTTATGGAAGGATCATATAGACGTTTTTGAGTGTTAACACAGAAAAGTAATATAGCACACTTTTAAAAGAGGGTATATGGTTATAAATGAAAGGGGATGAAACTGATGGTTCAATCTAAATAATACCACATATCTCACAACTTGTTGGAAAGTACTTTTTTCATTGGGGGAGATTCACAGCTGCCGAATTTTCTGCAGTTAATAGAGTCCTTTGATTCACAGCAGTGCCCCTTGTACAAAAAATACTGGCCTTTGTGTATTACCAGAAACTAATTTTCTATTTGGCTGAAAAGGGAAAAATGGGGTTATTGCTTCTCCCTCCTACAGAGCTTTTCATTATGCCTGATGCACTCAACTTCTAAGCTCTTCTGAGAAAAAAAATAACTGAAGAGGCAAGAGGTAGAAAAATGAGCTTGTTAGCACATTAGAAGTGAAGTATCTTGGTGGGCCCTAGAAATTCCCAGTGGTGTGTTAACTTATCACTCTATGCATGCTGGCACTGATAGTCTCCCAATTGATCACTCTCTTTTCGCACCAAAGGTGCTGCCAGGAAGCAAAGGCTGAAGGCCCACAGGAGAACAGTCTGCTATCAAAACAAGCTGTTTTTAAAAGTCTACTTGAATGGGTAAAATGCTTCATGAAAAGTAGGGTGGAGACACCTACCTGCTTTTAAAAATGCTCTACTTTCAGAGGGCCTATAAATGAAATATTTTACTTTACCTTATTATATTTAGAGTTTACACAAAAATTAGGCAGAGAGAAAGCAAATTTAATATTTCTAAAGCAAGGAGATTATTAGAGCAAGAAATGAATATCTAGAGAAGATACATTTATTTTTTTATTTTTTTAACATCTTTATTGGACTATAATTGCTTTACATTGTTGTGTTAGTTTCTGCTGTATAACAAAGTGAATCAGCTATACATATACATATATCCCCATATCCCCTCCCTCTTTTGTCTCCCTCCCACCCTCCCTCTCCCACCCTCCCTCTCCCACCCCTCTAGGTGGTCACAAAGCACCGAGCTGATCTCCCTGTGCTATGCGGCTGCTTCCCACTAGCTATCTCTTTTACGTTTGGTAGTGTATATATGTCCATGCCACTCTCTCATGTCATCCCAGCTTACCCTTCCCCCTCCCTGTGTCCTCAAGTCCATTCTCTATGTCTGCATCTTTATTCCTGTCCTGCTCCTAGGTTCTTAAAGATACATTCTGAAGTGTAATTCTATTTCACTATACAAAAGGAGATTCATAAAACTCTGAAGAAACCCTAATATATAAAGCTATAGAAACTAAAATTATCTAGACATAATGTATTCGTTTTGTGTAAAAAAACATGATGTATTTAATAAAACTGCAAAAAAAAATCGTAATTAGAGAAAATGATGCTTTCTAAAACAATTTTTTAAAGTTCAAGTATAGGTGGCAGAGTGAAGAAAAACAATCATTAATGGTTGAATTTAAATGAAAAACTGCAACGGTTATCACAAATTAGGCAGCCCACTGTCTGAAGTTTCCTTCTGGGAGATTATTTTCAGAAAATACTGTTAGCTTAGTAAATTATTATAGACTACAGTAACTCACCTTCTAAAAGCTAAATATTCTAATTTTCCAAGTGTGATGTAGTCAAATAAATAAACAACAATATGAAAGCAACCCAATCTACAGTACTTACATCTTTTCCCCCTTTTACTTTGGAAAACATATATTAAGGAGATATAATGAACTCTAAGTACTTAAACAATAGTCCTGAGTCCACAAACAAGGTATTTTTTGTGATTGAGATGATGATAAAGTTCCAAACAGTGATGTTAGCATCTGCAATGGTAACCATAGTCCAAAATAGTTAATTCCTATATCTCCTTATAATATGTTAGACACTTATTCCTTAAAAGGCAGCTCTCTAGGGAAGAGTTATTAGTACCTATAAATTGAGTGGCATACGCAAACTTGATGGCTAATAACAACAGGATAGCTCAAGCTATATTCCTACTGTGACTGTGTGTTGCCACTGGCATTGAAATTAAAAAAACTGAAACGGGTGAAATGATAAAAAGATGATGGTAAACTTACAAATTCAGAACAAAATTTAAAGTACAAGTCTAAGTTGAATTAAGACGGTTTTTGTTGCAAATCTAAAACAACCCAAGCCAAAACTAGCTAATAAAAGGCCACTTGATGAAGGAGACTTTTAGCTGGTAGGAATCTTTAATACAGAACTAGCCAATCAAAAGAAATAACACACAGGTGCTGCAATCACAGCAATATAATTATCCACTAATCCTCCTCCTTACTTTCTGCAAAAATAGAAATGGGGGGAAGGAATATTACCATTCTAAAAATAAGAAAAGGGAACTGAATGATTTTTATAGTATAAATAGTTTAAACCCAATCTGTACTTCATTAATATGAAGTTAATATCAGTATTCAATTAACTACTTTTGATTTTAAACTTATCATATGAAATAATAATGGCCCCCTGTCACTGTGTCAAGCCCAGCTGTTATGAAACTAGGGTTCAGTTTCAGCCCACTCCTGGAAAGAGATGTATGAATTCTCTGTGCCACAGTTTCTCTGAATGTTAAATGGGGATCCCCCAACCTGTTCCTATTTATGTCATAGGGCTGTTGAAGATAAAGGATATAAATACAAAGTAACCCAAAAGTCCCCCTACATCTGTGATGAAAATAGTTATTTTGACCTTTGACTCAAGTCTTTGTAAATAGCAGGTGCTGTCTCCACTAGGACAATTTTCAATATCAGTTTAAGAAATATGCCTGTGTTCATGTGCAAGAACTTTGATAATATTTCTTGTTTATGTTATGTACAAGAGGAAATTTTGACTTATTCTGGTAAGAGAAAACTGATTTCTCATGAGAAAAAACACAATATGAAGAAAAGAGACTGCAAACAGTTAATTAGAAACACTTTTTTCAACTTTACTAATGTATAGGGAGAACAAATAAAAGGTAGATTTGGTTTTTAAAGAAGCAACAACCCTTCATTCGCCACAATAATTTTCTTAATAATACAATGTAATTTTGAACTGCTTTTGCTGTCAGAAAAGGCATAACTTTCAGTTTTGTGATCATTAGTTCCATGGCACGCCCAGGAGGTTGTATAAATACTTAGGTCCAATGTAATTTGTGACTAGTCTCAAAGAAATAGAAATTTCTGTGTGTGTAAGTATATGTACATGTGTACATATGTATGTATGTTTATGTTTGTATATATGTATGTTGTACATAGCAAGAATATAAAGTATAATTTTTCACAAAAAGGAGTTACGAAAATTACAGACAGACAACAAAGGCATATCACTGCTTAACTAATTTCTTCTTAAATTCAGGTTTAATATTTTCTTTCCTAAACAAGAAAAAACTACCGG